CCGTGCACACCGACCAGCAGCGAGCCGAGAGGCGCGGCCGCAGCCAGCCTCTTGGCGGGCCCAGCCGTGGTCCCGGTCGTGCGCCGTATCGCGTGGGTTGCCAGGAGCAGGCAGCCAAGACCCTCGGTGTCCAGGAGTGTGCCGCCTCCGGAGCGAAGCCGCCAACCGCGACGATGACGTGGAGTCGCCGTCGGACCGTGCTGCGCAGAGGGTGTTCCCGGAGCAGGAGCAGAGACGCATGCAGGAGCTCGCCGAGATGCGCTTGGCTCCAGGAGGGCCAACGAGTCCGAGGAGGCCGCCAGGTGCGAGTTGTGCATCAGCGTGGTCAAAGCGGCGCTAGGCCAGACGTTGCCGGCAGGCCAGCAGGGCACCGAGATGCAGATTCGAAAGGAGAAGATCCGGGAGCGCGTTCGGATTACCAGGAGTTGTCTGTCCAATCGAGCATAGCAGGAATCAGAGATTATGGACGAGTTGGGCCGTGTCAAGGAGCCGGTCACCGAGCTGGAGGAGCACACACTACCAGGACGCGGACATGACCGACGAAGCAGGCAGTGGCGCCCAGCAGCCTGCGGCACCGGGAGATGGCGCTGGCTTCAGGCCTGCGGCCCAGCCGCAGCATGGGTCTGGTGCCCCACAGTCGCCGGCGGCATCATCGTCTTGCCGTGCGCGTAGCCGAAGGAAACAGCCATCTAGGGGGATAAATCGGCCAGCTGGGCCCAGGACATGCCCATGGAGATAGGGGTCGGTCAAGACTCCTCGCCCGCCCGCAAGCCGTCTCGCTCACTCCCACCCGCTCTCCCAACACATACGTAGCACCCGAGCCTGGCCGGAGCCGCAGCATATTCAGCAGTCGTCTTTGGATGGGCAGCTACTGGGGGCGAATCCGCCGCCGCAGCCGCCGCCTCCGCCGCCGCCGCCGCCGCCGCTGTCCGCCGCCGCCGCCGCCGCGCCGCCCGCCGCCGCGCCGCCCGCCGCCGCCGTCGCCGCCCGCCGCCGACGTCGCCGAGCCCCGCCGCCCGATCCGCCGCCGCCACAGCCTGCTGCGCGCAGCAGCCGCTGCCGCCAACGCTGCCAGCCGCCGCCGCCACCGCCGCCGCCGCCGCCGCCGCCGCCCCGCCGCCGCCGCCGCCACCGCCGCCGCCACCGCCGCAGCCGCAGCTGCCGCGGTGCTTGCAGACAACGGCTCGAGTCGTGGCAGATAGCGCTGCAGGCGGTTTTTGGTAGTGCTCGGCCCTCAGGGGGACCCGCGCTGGGCCCATGGGCCGTCAGAGAAGTTGACGAGCCCGACGTTGCTCAAGAGTCACGGCGTCGGGGTTCTGGGAGCGCGGTACGAGCGTGCTGTAGCACCACTGGTACTTGTTGATGTTGCCCTGCTCCTCACCTCCTCCTTTCTCTCCATGTTCGTCCCTCCTCCTCCTCCTCCTCCTCCTCATCCTCCTCCTCTCCTCCTCCTCCTCCTCCTACTCTCTCCTCTCTCCTCCTTCCTTCTCGCTCCTCCCTCGTCGCCGTCGGCCCCGCGGTCCCGTCTCTGGGGTGCCTGTTCGGGCCTTGCATCCAGTAAGGACACCACATATCTTAGAGCCCTTGAGGCGGGTAAGGACCCGATTTCGGGAGAGCGGAGGGGCGAACCTCGCCCTCTCCTCTCTTCTGATGACGCTTGCTTCTGGCTTCGTCTTCAGTAATTCGCCTGGCTTTTTGCTCCGTGTTTTACCTCCTTTTATTGTGGCTTCGTGCTGCGCTCGCTCACCTCGCTCCCCAATCGTCTTCGCCTGGCCTGTTGCCTGTCTCGGCGCACCTGGCATGCTATGGTGGTGCCCCTCGTCGCCGTCCACCCTCCCCCTCCCCGTCCTTCCCCCCATCCTCGCCCCCACCCTCCCTACTCTTCGCCCTCCTGCCCGTCCTCTTCCGCCATCCTCGTCGGCCGTGCCCTCCCCCCCCCTCCTCCGCCCCCCCCCCTCCCGGGCGCGCGACGACGGCGGCAGCGGGCGGCACGGCCACGAGCGAGGACGGCGCCGAGGCCGGGAGCGAGGGCGACGGCGACGGCGAGGACGACGGCGCGGCCGCCTTCGGCCCCAACAGGAGGTCGGCGCCTGCGGCGAGGAGCCCTGCGAGAGCGGCCCGCCGCACGACTGCGAGGCCTCGCCGTGGTCGCCGTGGTCGGACTGCCTGGGCGACCCGCGGCCCCTCAGCCTCCGCGGCCGGCCGCGCGGGCGCGGCCGGCCCGCCGCACGACGGCCACCGGACGACGCCGCCGCGCACGGCCGCCGCCGACGGCCGCCGCCGACGGCGACGGCCCGCCGAGGGGCAGCGACGATAGGCCACCGAAGCGGCGGCAGCGGCGGCGCCGACGAGGGCACCGCCGCCGAAGGCGGCGGCGAGGCGTGGTCCCCGGGCGACCGCGGCAGGGCGAGCTGGGCTGGGAGGAGCAAGAGGTCCCGAGAGTGATGCGCTTCGGGCTTCTTTCTGTCAGGATTTGCGAGGGCGTGCCCGAGCTCCGGACGGTTCGGGCGGGCGACAGGAACGGGGGCCGCGAGATGCTGCAGAGTTCCGGGGGCGGGCGACCCCATTGCATCATGGCATCATCCTCGTGCTATGCATCCAAGACGCTGGAATAAAACCACTTCGGGCTCGAGAGGGGCGCTGGTTTTCGCGCCGCTCGTTGGATCCAGGTCAGGGATCCCATTCCTGGCCGAAGCTCGCCGCGGCCAGGACAGCCCCTCCCTTTCTTATATGCTGTGTTCCTTATGGTAGGACGCTGACGGTGCACACTCGGATCGGCAACGAATCCATGTCGGGAAGCATTCAAGCACCACCTCCGCATGGCCGGAGGGGGGGGGGGGGGCGACGCGTGGTAGGGGGAGGTACTGTGCCATCCCCTCCGCATGGCCGGGGGGGTGCGACGCGTGTATGGAGGGATGACCTTGCCATCGAAGGGGAAGACGAGGATGCGTGGGAGCCGCCGATCGTCTGAACCGCATGAGCCCTGAGGCCCCGAGGGCTGTTGACGCATGAAGAGGCGAGGATGGCGACGGCGATAGTGACGACGACGACGAAGACGAAGACTGCGACGGCGGAGACCGTTGCTGCCGTCCTTCGCAGTCGCAGGTCGACGGCGGCGTCGGCGCCTGCGGCGACGCCGGCCGCTCCCTCCCGGGCACGCGCCGCGCGCCGGAGAGGGGGGTCCGGCGCAGGTCCAAGAAATCCGCGCGGAGCGCCAACAGATGATGTGTACTCCAGATTTCGTAATAAAGGGAGGGGGGTCTCATTTCGGGGGGGGGTCTCTTCCAGGCTATCTTGGAGGGCCTGGGGAGGTCTGGGGACGGAGTTTTGGAGGGTTCTCCCACGGGGGAGGTCTGAAATGGCTTGTCTTGGAGGGTCCAGACCCCCTCCCTTTTATTACGAATTACGAAATCTGGTGTATGTTTTTTGTGTCTCCCTTTTAGGAAAGTGGGGGAGAAGGCGAAACTCAAACAACCATGGAGGAATAGGGGGAATCCCGGCAATTGTGTCTCTTCGTTGTGTGTCCTTGGGCCCCTTCCAGCCGGGAGGGCCACGTCCAGCGAGGAGGTTCACGAGGCCTCCCCACGCTGGGGAGGTGGGGGTGCCTCCCGCGAGAGGGGGGGCCACCAGGGGGGCCCCATGTTCGCCGGGCAGTCGCTCCGTGGGCCTGCAGTCGTGCTTGCGGCATTGCGAAGCTCCGGCTTCCCTGTTGTGGTAATGTTCATTCGCACGCCTTGGTCTCTACGCACGCTTTGTAGCCTCAAGTCGGGTATGTCCTTGCGCAGGAGGAATATGAAAAATTGTCAAGAACAGTGGGGGGACGATCTTTCTACTCTCTTTGATCATTTCCCAAATCAGTGCTTGCACTGAACAGGTCCTAGCAGACGTTGAAAGAAAGATTTGGCGATTTTGGTAACAGGCTGGGTTCCCGGGTTCCCAATTCCCGGGATCCCGGGTTCCTGGTTATTGGTTCTTGGCCGATTTCGGTTGATTTGGGGTTCCCCGGCTCCTGGGTTCCTGGTCGATCTCCCCAGCGGAAACCATCCATTGATCGCGGTTTTTCTCTGAAGTAATTTGGAATGTTTTTGGACTATGTTGTATTTGTCGTCCAAATCCGCCTGTAGAGGGACATGCCCGACCTAATCTTGGCCTCATACAGTAGGGAGCTCCACCCTGGTGATGGTGGTGTCGCTGGGTGTTCGGTTATGACCCCCTTGTTAGACGCAGCCATCCAGCTTTCGCGCTGAAGACCGCCGATGGACCGCCGAGGACCGCCCAGCAAGGCCGACAGGCAGCGAGGGGCCCATGGTCGAATACATAGACGCTGTACATATATCAGGCGATCGCAAGCATGGATCAACGGGGGGTGGATCAGTGACGAGTCCCGTTTCCGTAGGAAATCGCGGATTTTCGCCGTCGAACGAGGCGGCACCGGCCGCATTTTGGGGAGGGCACCTCCCCCGATCTATGGATTTAGCGACCGCGCGTCAAATCCATGGATCGCTAATCCATGTTTGCGCGCCCCCGAAGATGCAGTCAACCCGCACAGTAAGGATGTGCAACCGTCCCAAGGGTACCCTTGCGTCCTTGCCCCTTCGGCGCACCCTTGTCGGCTTTCGCTGGCCAGCCTCGTTCGAAAGCGTTCGCATGGGTCTCCAAGGCCCTCACATCCTTACCGCGCATCCTTGTGAGTTCCCCAATCAATGCTTGCACGGAAGGGGTCCTAGCAGAAATTGAAAGATGTGGCGCAAGCTTCCCGCCGATTTTGGTGGCCGGCTGGGTTCCCGGTTCTGGGCTCCCGGGTTATTGGTCATTGGTTCCAGTCCGATTTCGGTGGGTTCCGGGTTTTCGGGGTTCCCGCGGGTCCCCGGTCACCGGTCGGTCTCCTCATCGATCTCCTTATGGATCCCACTTCAAACCATCCACTGATTGGGGTTTTTCTCCGGTGCACTTGCGCTATCCGTGGCCGCCGAGGCTCGAGGCTCGAGGCTCGCAGCCAGCCGACAAGTTCTGGAGCCAGGCCGAGGACCGAGGGCCGCCTGCGCAGCCGCCCCACGACGCGAGGGCTCGCGGGGGCCTCTGCCGTGCCGCTCCGCCCGCCGCCGAGGCGACGCCGCGGGCTCCCGGACGCGCTCCCGCACCATCGAGGCGTTCGCGTCTCCGGGCGCGGAGGGCTGCGACATGCCGCTGCAGGAGGCCGCGCCTGTCCTCCTCCTGCTCCTTCTACTCCTCCCCCTCCTCCTCCTCCTCCTCCTCCTCCTCCTCCTCCTCCTTTTCCTCCTCCTCCCTCTTCCTCCCCCTGCCTCCTCCTCCTCCTCCTCCTTCTCCTTCTCCTCTCCTCCTGTCTCTCCTCCTCTCCTCCTCCTCCTCCTCCTCCTCTCTCCTCCTCACCTCCCTCCCGCTCCCTCCTCCTCCTCTCCTCCTCCTCCTCTTCCTCCTCCCTCCTCCTCCTCCTCCTCCTCCTCCTCCTCCTCCTCCTCCTCCTCCTCCTCCTCCTTATGGACCTTCGATCATCGATCCTCCTCGATCCTCGAGCCTCGACCTCGGGGCTCCGTGGTGTCGCCCGAGGTGGGCGCGAGGAGCACAGCGAACAGCGGCAGGTGGCAGGACTCCTCTCGGAGCTCCTCGCTCCTTGAGCCTTCCCCAGCCGCTCGGGCGGAGGAGGAGGAGGAGGACGAGGACGAGGAGGAGGGGGAGGAGGGAGCAGGAGGAGGAGGAGGAGCAGGAGGAGGAGGAGAGGGGGAGAGGAGGAGGAGGAGGAAGAAGAGGGAGGAGGAGGAGGAGGAGGAGAGTATGACTGAGGAAGGGGAGGTAGGAGGATGATGAGGAGAGGAGGAAAGGAGAGCAGGAGGAGGAGGAGGTAGGAGAGGAGGAGGAGGAGCAGGAGTGAGGAGGAGAGAGGAGGAGGAGGAGGGGGGAGGAGGAGGAGGAGGAGAAGGAGGAGGAGAAGGAGGAGGAGGAGGAGGAGGAGGAGGACAGCCGCTCGGGCGGATGGGCGTTTGTAACCCCGGCGTCTCTCCCTGATGTCGGCCTCCTGGGGCCGCCTCGGGGTCCCAGCACAACAAGGGGCGGATCTCAGAACGTGCTCGCAACCCCTAAGGGGTCTTGGAGCTATCCTGGAGCGTCTTCGTCGCCTCTCGGGCAGTCTTGAGATCAGCTTTCTGAGGCCGTGGGGCCTGCCACCCCGGCGCCTCATTGGGGCGCTCCTTGGGTGCTCCGGGGGCGCGCCCAGGAGTGCCGGCATCTCTGGCCCGAACCTGCCGGGGACCTGCCGGGACCGCGAACAAGGCGAATTACGGTGGAGAGCCATGCCAAGAAACACCTTGCTTGCCTCCAGGGAGCCCTGGGTTTCTTGGGCTTCGATGGCTTTGCGATGGAAAACGTAGAACTTGCAAGCCGAAGCTCGATGGACGTCCTGGGGTCTCAGGGTTGGGTTTCTTGTGGAAGTAGAAGAAGAAAAACGCCATAAACATAAACTTTTGGCGCTCCGCGTGGATTTCCTGGATCCGCGCTGGACCCCCCTCCCTGGCGCGCGGAGCGCGCCATGGGCGGCGCTGGAGGCGCCGCGCGGGGGGCCCAGCGTGGATCCAAGAAATCCGCGCGGAGCGCCAAAAGTTGATGTTTACTGTTTTTGTTCCTCTTCCATGGAAGGTTTCTTGTGGACTGGCCTCCACTGTGTGCCCACATGTTCTGGAGGAGCGGATGCTCACACTCACACCACTGCCAGCAGAGGGGGGCACCTACAGCGGAGAGGTCCACAGTGCCTCCCCGAGCCGGCGACAGGGGATGTCTCGAAGAGGGACGGGGGAGGAGGAGGAGAAGGAGGAGGAGGAGGAGGAGGAGGAGGAGCCAGGACCCCGGGGCGGCGGAGCGGATACTCACACCACCGCCAGCAGAGGGGGCCACCTCCAGCGGAGAGTTCCACAGTGCCTCCCCGAGCCGGCGACAGGGGATGTCTCGAAGAGGGAGACTCCCCCGCCTCATCCTCCTCCTCCTCCTCCTCCTCCTCCTCCTCTTCCTCCTCCGCCTCCTCCTCCTTCCTTCATCCTTCCTCCTTCCTCCTTCCCCCCTCCTCCTCCTCCTCCTCCTTCCTCCCTCCTTCCTCCTTCTCTTCCTCCTTCCTCCTCTCCGCTCCTCCTCCTCCTCCTCCTCGTCCTCCTCCTCCTCCCTCTTTTCTCCTCTTTCCTCTCCCCTCCTCTTCCATCTTTTCTCTCCTCTTCCTTCTTCTCCCCCATCCCTTCCCCTTATACATAGCTTCTCCTTGTCGCACCTCCAGGCGTGTCCGCAGGCCGGGGGCGGGGCGTTTCGCTTGAGACTTTCTCGCCATATTGCTCCTGAGGTTTGCAGCTTGCAACAGTTTCAAGGATGCAGGGCAGGCCGTTTTCAAGATAGAGGTCTCGCGCTAGCACCGCGGGCAATCGTTTCATTGAGAGCTTGCAACAGCTTCAAGGATCGAGGGCGGGTCGTTTTCCAGATGCAGCTCTCGCCTCAGCGCCGCGTGCATTCGTTTTCAAATGTCGCAGCGGCTGCAAGGACGGACGCTGCTTTTGTGTGTCAAAATGTGGCTCTCGCCTTGGTGCCGCGCATATTCCTTTAGCGACTGCAGCAGATTCGCATGTTTGGAGTACCAGGCATATCGCTCTGTCTCGCACGGTGTATGCGCGTGGGGACACAATAGTCGCGGGAATTCTCGGCGCTGACATCCCAGGAATTGCGTTTTGGCGCTGTTCAGGATTAGTTATCAGATACCATATGAAATTCATGAGTGCCCGAATCCTGTCAAATGTATCATGAACAACTGATATCTGTTTTACGTTGTTCTCCTTGCAAGGCGTCCCCCCTTTTGGAGGTCTGCGGGAGTGACGCGTTTTGCATGTATTCCTCTTTTCTCGGACGGTTGTCAATGAGGCCAGCTCCTGCAATGAAACGAAGTTTTTGTAGGGACCTGTGAACAGTGAGAAACTTGGGGGAGGGTTGTTTGCAACCTTGCTGGTGCGTGTTGGGTTTGCACTGATCCTCCCCTTCTCTCCTCGTCCTTCTCCCTCCTTCTCCCTCCTCCCTCCCCTCCTTCTCCTTCTCCCTCCTCCTACTCCTCCTCCTCCCTCCGCCTCCCTCCTTCTTCCTCCTCCTCCTCCTCCTCCTCCTCCTCCCTCCGCCTCCCTCCTCCTCCGTCCTCTTCTCGCATGCTCTCCCGCCCCCCCCCCCCAGAGGTGGCCCCGTGCCCGGAGAGCGGCGACGCCGGCTCCTCAGCGGGGCGCCCTGCGGGTACCTTTCACCGTTAGCTCTCTCCGACCCCTGCGACCCCCCCCCCCCGCACACACGCAAGCACACACACACACACTTCACACGCACACATTCACGCGCACACACACACGCACACACGGGCGCGCCCGCCCGCCCGCCCGCCCGCCCGCCCGCCCGCCCGCCCGCCCACCCACACACACACACCACGGGCGCGCCCGCACGCACGCCGCCCGCCCGCCCGCACGCACGCCACATACACACACGCACACCACACACACGCACACACACACACACACACACACTCACACACACACACACACACACACACACACACACACACACACACACACACACGCACACACACACACGCACGCACGCACGCACGCACGCACACATACACACACATTCACACACAAACGCAAACACACACACACACAAACACACACACAAACACACACACACACACACACGCACATTCACACACACACATGCACACACACACACACGTACGCACGCACGCACGCACGCGCGCACGCACGCACGCACGGGTTCGATGCTCGCTTTGGGGACCTTCCCTGGGCGCACCCAACGGATCTGTTCGATTCCAGTTCGACTCCAGCTCGACGATTCGACGCAGGTTCGGCTCGGGCTCGACTCCGATCGACGGACGTTCGACGCAGCTTCGAGGCACGAGTGGAGCGAGTGGCCCCAGGAAGCTCGCCAGAATGGGCATCCAGCACGAGGAGGGGAGGGAGGGGGGCGGTCAGAGGAAGGCGGGAAACATACCAACGCCGCTGCCCGTTCTGGAGGGCCCTCGTCGCTGCTGCCGGATTCTCGAGAGATTCTGGTCAGAGCCTCCTCCTCCTCCTCCTCCTCCTCCTCCTCCTCCTCCTCTTCCCTCCTCCCTCCTCCCTCCTCCCTCCCTCCCTCCCTCGCAAGAAGAGCCAACCAAGGCCTCACGGCGGAGGGAGCCGCCCCGGACGACGCCCGCCCCAGGGGATCCCGCCCCCCCCCCACCCCAGGGGTGATCTCCTGCGCGCGGCAACCCGCAATCGGAGGCGGCCGAAGCGACCCGCAGCGAGGCAGCCCCTTTCCGTGACGTGCCCCTCGCCTCGCCCCCCAAGGCGTACGTGTGCGGCCGAAGCGCCGGGGAGGAGCGTGACAGGCGAGGGGTTGACGTCACGGAAGGGGACGGTTTGCTGGGGGTCGGTTAGGCCCAATGCCCGAGCCGCCCAGCGAGCATCAGGACGCCCAGAGAAGGAGGGGATTTCGGGGATGCAGGAGTCTAAGGAAGGAAGCACGCGTACGTGAATCCACGCTGGATTCGAGAGCACGCACTGCGCGAGCGTTCGTGACACGAGGCCGGTCTCGCGGACGGGGGGGGGGCGTAGTCATGTATGTGGTTTGGCGGGTCCGTCCTTTTTGTGTGGGTTCCCGACAGTTGGGATGATAGTTTGGTAGTGGGAATCCTGACTGAGAAGGGATGGGTTAGGTGTGTTTGGGGCGTGGAGCTGCCAGAGCCACTGTGCCTCGCAAGCATTGTGTGCTGGAGCAGACGCCGCGGGCTGCTGGAGCCGGCTTCCCGCGTCGAGAATGAGGTGCTGGGGCCCATCTGTCTTGTAGGCGCGAGCTGCTGGAACGACTGTCCCTCGGGAAAATTGTGTGCTGGAGCCGACGCCGTGGGCTGCTGGAACCACCTTCCCTCGTGAAAAATTTTGTGCTGGAGCCAGTGTGTCTTGCAGGCACGAGCTGCTGGAACCACTTTCCCGCGTAAAAATTGCGCACTGGAGCCGCACCCCGTTCAGGGTTGACAAGTAGAAATAGGGTGGGGGGAGGGGGGGGACTGGCCCGAGGGCGGGGGTCCTGGTATTGTAGTCACGCCTCGCCCTCAAATGGGGGCAGTCTGCGCGTCCTCGTGCGCGTGCGGTTGGTCGGTCGGTCGGTCGGTCCGCTCGGTCGGTCAGTCGTCGTCGTCGGTCGTCGTCTCGCTCGGTCGGTCGGCCTGTCGGTCGGTCGGTCGTCGTCGGTCGTTGTCGTCGTCTTGTTCGTTGTCGTGGCTTCCTCATGGCTCCCTCATTGCTCCCGACACGTCCACATGCGCTCTAAAATCTCACTACCAACATTATTCACCTGACTGTAAGGATACATCCCAGGGGGCTGTTCGGGCGTACCCCGACTGAGTTTGGCCAGTCTGTTCTGTCCGTTCGAATGGCCACCACAGTATTGGATTGTGGTCGCCATGCCCTCCGTCAGGGTACAAGCTAGGTATATACGCTCGCGCCACATATGATATCCTACCCCGCCATCTTCTGCGTTGGTGGAGTGCCCTTCCCATCGGTTGGGAAGCTGGCACTGTTCATCATCGGGGGTTGATCACAAAGGGGAACCAACACATGATATCCTATCCCCCCCATCCGCCCCGTCCCGCCTCGCCAGATCCTTTTTTGTCCGCCGGACGGGGGCGATACCCGAATGGCGGCTGCAGGATCAGGCCAGGCCGAGGGGGGGATGAAGAGGTGTTCGGACTTTTTCTCGCGCTGTTTCTGTTTGGTCTTCCTGGTGGGTCCTGGTCACCGCGGCTGGATTCGACCTGACCTTCTGGTCAGAACGTGCACCGGTTTTGAGCGACAGCGGAAAGGCAAGCTTGAGTATTCTGGGGGCCGTCGGAGTCTCTAATGGGAGAAGGCAAACATCGCAACACAAGTATGTGCATCTCGAGGGACTGCCCGCCGACACCCAGAAGAGCGGATGTGCGGCTGTCGATTTTGTGTGTTTTGGTTGCCGCCTTCTGTCTTGCTGCTTGCGTGTAGTTGTTGTTGGTTCATCATCCTCTTGCCCCTCTCCTGTCTCGGCGGTTTGGGGGGTCCTTCTGGAGGCTTCGGGGGCAGCCTTGCTTTGAAAGCTCCTCGGGCCTTTTTGGAGCCCTCTGGGAGCTTCTTTGGGGCCTCTTGGATTTGTGTGATCCGATTGGTGTCGCTTCTCGGGAGCATCAATAGGAGGCTCTGGGGCCGCCTCGAAGCCATCAGGGAGAAGGGAGAGGCTGGTGGAGGAGGAGGAAGAGGAGGAGGAGGAGGAGGAGAAGGAGAAGGAGGTGGAGGAGGAGGCGGATGAGGAGGAGGAGCGGGAACGGACGTGCTCGTAGGTACGTCTTTTTCCCGCGGAAAAGGCGCGGGAACCGGCGTGCTCACGAACATGTCTGAACATTGGCCGTGACAGGTCCATTTTGGGACAGTTGGTTCGACATATCGGTATCTCTTTCTCTTCTCTCCCCCATGTTCCCCCGCGTGTTACCCCTCATGTTCTCTGGCAAACTTCTGCGACTGTACCGCGCAGTATAACGCCTTTCGCTGGTCAGTTATGTTGCTTAGACCTGCCCGCCGCCAGGGTGCAATCACATTCGAGTGTTTTCTCCGCGTGGTGGCCGAAATCTTGTCGACTTGGCTGGACCCTGTTTGACTGACCTTTCGAAACAGGAGGACGAGCGAGGATGGGGATCGGGACAGAGGGGCGCCACTCCTGGGAGGTAAAACTCAGCATCGGCATTGGTGGATCCGCAGTCGGACATCTGCACAGTCCCGATCAACTCCGCCGCTCAATCCGGTATACCCGTAGATCGTTGAAAGTAGGTATTTTTGGAGTCCCAGTTCCCAATCTACTTTAGCCGCCTTTCTACTTCAAGAGCCGAGTGGGTTTTCATCTCCCCTCCTCTTCAGGAGGCGGGCGGAAACCCAATATACTTCAACGCCTTCCTACTGCTTGCTTCTACAGACTTTTTCCAATCGATGGGCAATCTTGTTCAATGGCGTTAGATGTTGGGTTCAGTCCGGGATGATCCGGCTCGCTGGCCATTGCATTTTGCAATTATTTGTTACCCACATTCTTGCGAAGGCTGCAGAATGCCCGGTGTGCTCCCTGAGTCCATGCTGATGCCAGCTTGTTGGCTCGGGGACTTCGGCACGCGACGGCTACGCACATTTTTATCGGAGGTGAGGGGGTGAGATCGAAGTGGAACGGAGAGCCCCCCTACCGGGAAATCGATTTCGGTTTCGTGTTCGTGCGTGCCGTGCGTGCGGGCGAGGCGAAGCTGCGTGGGCGGGCGAGAGAAAGTCTCCTGTGGCTGAGGCGCGGCCGGACCAAATGTGTCTCTTCCGGGCGGCCGGTGGCGCGCGGTGTCCCGCAGGCCCGCAGGTGTCCCGCTATGTCCCGTCGGTGTCCCTGTGGCTGAGGCGCGGCCGGACCAAATGTGTCTCTTCCGG